TATATATATATAAGATAATATTTTATCATAAATTTAGAATATTACACATTTAAATTTTAAATAAAGATAAAAAATTACAAATTAATAATGTATGTATTTTAAGTATAAAAAAAATCATAAGTTGTTATTAATCTATTTTTGGATATTTTATATCTTTTTAGATATTTTATATTTTTTTCTATTTTATTTTTACTTTTTTCAATTCTTTTCATGTTTTCAGGTTTCTCTCTACCTCTAACATATTTTAAAGTGTAGAAGAGTGAAATTGAAAAAAAAAAAGAAAAACTTATTCTTCCATCTCTACTACTTCTTGTTTGAATAGCTAAATTATATAGAGAGAGGTTTTTGATAGTATTGAAAATGAGCAAATCATTCAATATTTTCAAACTATGAATGTAACATCCCGAATTTTCTACTAGTATAATGATTATTTATTATTTATTTTATATTTATGGAGATTCTTTTCTAATAGTTATTTTAATGGATTTTATAGAATGTTTTAAAGATTTTTAATAATTATGACTATTTTAACAATAAATATTTAATTATTTTATAATATTTTGATTTTTAGTAGCCTAGAACGGACCGTTCTCAAATTAGAATGGGCCGTTCTAGACTACTAAAACTAGAAAGATTAGGTTGAAACGGGCCGTTCCGATTCGGGAACGGGTCGTTCCAAATGTGACCGTTGTGAGTTCAAACTCATATCCAGAACGGGCCGTTCTGATTCTGGAACGGGTCATTCCAAATGTGAATTTTAGACATGAAGTATGAGTCCAGATGGGGAGTTCTGGATTTGTAACGGGCCGTTCTGGTAACTACTGATGCCTATGAATAGAACGCTTTGTCGCTCCAAAAGCACATTTTCACGTTTCACCTCTTTTTCTTCTACACTCTCTAAAGACTAAGGGGAACCCAGAGGAGGAGACCAACAAAATCTAGCTTTAGTTTCAGCTCCTGCTTATCGAGGTAAGGGGGAGTGAGAAACCTCGCTTTGGGTGTGGGAATATCTGTTGGGTAGTGGGATTGACCCCAATCCTGTGTTTGTTGTATTTTTTGTATGCTCATGTATGAGGAGTTTTTCTCCAATTGTATCTGTTTTGCCTATTATTTTTCTTATATGTAATTAATTGTATGATCTGAGATCTCTATGGGTTCCTATGAAAAACCCTAAGGGAATGCATTGGTGATTGTAAGAGGAGATGGTTCGAAGATGTAATTGTATCAGTTAATTGTATTGTTTTAAATGTTTATGGTATGAATTAGAGTGTTCTGTGGGTTCTTGTGGGAACCCTATTTGAAACAGGCAAAATATGAATGTTTTCTGTTTTGTTTTCTGATTGTTCTGATCTATTCATTGTTGAATGAGATGTATAAATATGTGTTTATTTTTGAAAATAAACAAGTTTTGATATGAATTAGAGTGTTCTGTGGGTTCCTGTGGGAACCTTATGAGAAATAGGCAAATTTTAAATGTTTTCTGTTTTACCTTTTGAGTTTTCTGTTGTATTCCTTAATGTTTGCAGAGTGTAAATATGTGTTTAATTTCGCAAATAAATGAGTTTTAATATGCATTAAAGTGCTCTATGAGAATTGTGAATATAATGTGATAATGTGATAATGATGATGAGATATGATGATGACATATGATGATGGAATATGATGATGAAATGTGATGATGAGATGTGATGATAATAATGTGATATGAGAATGCATAGAGTCTTATTGATATGCAAATATTTTTAAGGGTACGATATGGAATACACTGCTAGAGAAGGCCCCTTAGTGTAAAAGCTTCGGGGATTAGTCCTTGGGGATAACTCAGTTTGGAAGTCTCAGTCTCGCCCATTGTGTGCATGGGATGTATCTAGCGCGGCTTAGCTATCCCGACGAGACTCTGGTAGTATGTCCTTCTAGTGAGAGTGCATAGAGGGTGTGACCCGACATGTACTCTTAGACTACTCTTCGTGTATTGCTAGCGGCAATATGCCTGATGTTTTACTGGCGCCACATGCATGATAAAATGTAGTCTGTGTCCATACATGTGCATTTTAATGTTATATGAAAAATTGATGTCTTGGACGAGTGAGATGTGATGTTATTATTAATTTATCTATGTTATACCTGTCTTGTTTGTGTTTGGCTATCCGGCGTATATTTCTATACTGTGAGCTAGAGTGAGATGTTTCTCACTCCCTTTTTTCTTGTGTTGTTTTCTTTGACCGTCATACAGGTGATTATCAGCATGAGGCTAAGGATGTTGGTGATGAAGCTTAGGCTTCTATGTTGGGATTTGCTCTGATAGGACATGTGACATCGGGATGTAGATAGGATTAAATTAGGATGTTATTTTTGTTAAATTATTTTGAAAACCTTAACCTTATTTCTTTTATAATTACCATTGATTATGTTATTTATTTAAGTTATGAATGTGGTGCTCTGTATCTGAACATGTTTGGTATTTTAAAAATGAAAGATTGTGGTATTCCAAATTTTATTATTTGTATTATGATATGCAGGGTAGAGGGTGTCACAATGAAAACTCGTAGAGAACAATTATTATATGTATTTGTTTTTATAAAAATTTTATTTTATATTTTGTCAAATTTATGTATTTAAATTTTACTCCCACTACTTAAAATTTCTGGATCCGTCACTGCATATAAGGGTAAAATTCGGAATTCACAATACGTGTAACAACTAAATTATATGTTTAACCAATTATAAATCCGTATTATAATTCCAATTCCCAAGTCATAAAGAGCAACATAATATACTAAAATAAACACTTCTTTCATCCCATAATAAGTGACATCTTTTATTATTTTTATACATATTAAAAAAGAAGAGGAATCTATTTACTCCAAGAGTAAGTTTACTTAGATTTACTTCGTTTAATAAATTATGTTCCATATCAAATCTCAAAAATCCAAACGTTGAATTTAAAGTTTTTAATGCACAAAATAAATTTGCAGCCTTAATCTATACATTAAGAATTTTAAATTTAACGGTTGGATCGTTGAAATTTGATGTAAAATATGAGTTATTAAACAAAATAAGTCTAGGTAGATTTACTCCTAGAATAAACAAGTCCCTCTTCATTAAAAAAATAATAAATAGAAGAAAGAAAAGCCAAATATAATTCCAATTCCCAAGTCAAAACTAAATAACAATGCAAAATACTAAAATAAAATACTCTTTCCATCCCTATTATAAGTAATTCTTAGGTTATTTTATACAAATTAAAAAAAATTAATAAATAGACAAAAGAGAATAATATTTTTACAACAGCGAATCTTAAATCGTATAGTTAATCTTTTTTACTAAAAAGAATGAAATGCAAAACCACTTCTAAAAAATAATTGTCAAAATATTAATAAAATAATTTTATAAAATTAACTTTATTTTAGATCAAAATAATTATCAAAGTTTTAAACTAAAATATTTATTATCATTATTGTAACCAGAAGGGTTAAGACACTTAGAATAGTTACATCGACAGTATTAGATGATTGTGAATATATTGATAGTAATAGATGATTGTGGATATTTATTTAAAGAAAATATGAAAAATTGTCTTATTCAAAAGTTGAGAAAAGTATACTAAAAAGTGAAAAAAAAAAAAAAAAAAACTAGCTAATTTGATATCTCTTAATAGGTATAGACCAGAGGGACAAAACAATTTTTGAATAGAACAACTAAAAAATATTTATACAAAGAAGATATAAAATATTATATTTTTCAGCATTTGAGAAATATAATAATTCATTTAAAAATAGAGATAAAAATTCATTATATACTCTGAATCCACTTATAATAAGTATAAATATAATTCTATTAGAATGTCTATGAAAAAAAATAATTACCTGACAATGATTTCATCCCGATCTCAATCTGTTTTATCATGAAAAATTTAAAATTTCGTGGAAACTTAATTTCAATGATAATATCAGTAATGATTTCATCCTGATCCATTGATAACGCAGATAAAGTTATAAATATCTACAAAATCTCCTCACGAGTTGCAGTTCGTTCTTTAATCCCTCGCAATCACAACAATCACAATCACAATCACTTCATCGAATCAAATCTCATACTCATACAAACAGTCGCAGTAAATAAAAACACAGTTCCATTACAGAAAATTAAATCGGAATCACAAAATGCAACATTGATGAAAAACAAACTAACATACTAACAAAGATTCACATAACAACAACAAACTAACAAAGATCCACATTATTGAGAAAGCGAAAAAAAATCAAAACCCTAACTACTATTGTCGTCGATGTTCTCGAACGCCCAGGCGTTGGCTTCGCGATACGCAGCCTCCTCCTCGGGAGTGTAGTCACTCACGATGCCGAAGAAATCTCTGGCGAACTCCACGCTCTTGTTCTGCAGCATCTCGGCGATTCCGCAGCAAAGAAAATCAAGAAACTCCTTCATGTTGAGGTAGTTCGCAGCGAGAAGAATCTCCTTCATCTCGTCGGGGCTCAGCGCCTTCATGAAATTGTCGTCGAACTCCTTCAGCGCCTTCTTGTCGTGGAAGCCGATGCGGCGGTGCTCCTCGCAGTAGTTCAGAATGCGGCGGAGGTCGCGACTGGTCACGTTGGGGAGCGGGATCACGGCAGAGCTGTCTCCGCTGGTGTCGATGAAGGACTGTACCGTCTCCATCTTCTTCGCGATCCAGGCTTTGACCTCGAACGCCACGCCGTCCGAGGTTTTGAGGTTAACGTCGGGTTGGTTTTCTTGTTCGTCGACGGCGGCAGTGTTTGAGGATTCTCCCTCGGATAGGGTGAGGCTGTTGAGCTGCTCCTCCGCGAGTGCGACCGATAAGGGCTTGGATTCGGCTTCAGCGAGTTTGCGCTCTACTTCCGCCAATTCTTTCCAAAGGTCTTCTACTGCCATTGATGGAACTGAGAGGGAAAGAGAAAATAACAAAAGTGAGAGAGAAGAATGTTTCAAGACTAGTTTGCTGTTTGAGTATGGATGAGAATACGCTTTTATAGGAAAAAAAGAAAAAGGGAATCACGTGTTTTGGTTTTGAATTCATTTGATTTATTTATTTATTTAAATTTAATTTCTTTTTATCAATTTTATTTTTGTCTAAATATAATTGTCTAAAATGTATGAAACTGCATGAATAAAATGATTTTATAAAATTAAAAGAAACAAACATATAAAATTATATAATTTTTTTAATGATATGGATTCAAAAACAAAGTTCATGAAATTGTAAAATTAAAAAGGTAATTAAATTATGCAAAAAAGTAATTAAATATTTTATTTATTATAATTTAATGGGTTTTTTAATGATCTCTTTTTTGTTTTTTCTTTTATTTTCTGTTTGAGATAAGATGGTTAGATGGATTGAATTTGGGGGTGTGGTTCCTGGAGTTTAATTTTGATCAGATTTTTGTTTTAAATTTGGAAAGATTATTAGATTGAAAAGAAAATTATGAGTGTTTAGATGATAGATTTTATGGAGTAGTTTAATTTTTTCAAAAAAATTAAATGCTATTTGGATGAAGGATTTAAAATTTAAATATTTGGAAATATCTTTATGTCAAATTTTAAATTCTCAAAAAAAATAAAAAGTAAGAATTTGAAATTATTTTTTCTCTTGTTTCTCCTACTTTCTTTTCAATCTCTTTCAAAGTTAACTAAAAATATCAATAATTTTTTAATTATTAAATATTTAAAATTATTTTCTAAACTATTAAATACTATTTAATATTAATTTTTAAATTTTCAAATATTTAAAAATTAGTTAATATTTAATTTTATAAAAATTAATCTTAAAATTTATATATATATATATGCTCACGCACGTGCTTAAAATCATATTTATATATAAAAATTAAAATCAAAGTAATTTTAGTTTTAAAAATTAAATTTTTTTATGAATTTTTAAAATTTTTCATCCAAATAGAGAATTCATATATTTTTTCTTTTTACTTTTTTTTAAAGAATAATGTTAACAGTGTTTTTATAGGTTAATTTTTTTTTTCTTATAGGAATTTAATCATCCCTGTGAATTGAACATTAACTTCTACTTTGTACCGTATATTTTCTTTTAGTGATTTTTCTTTGATAAAATTTATAAAAAATAAATTATTCAAGAGGAGTGTATTTGATTAAAATTTTAAAAAATTTTAAAATATTATTTTATTATAAAAAAATTTGTAGTAAAATCTTCTTTTTTTAATATAAAAAAGTCGTATAAAATTTAATCAAAACAATTAAGAATCTTTTAAAAGTTCATCAAAATTTGATGATATTCAATTAAAATAATTAAATTTTTTTAAGTGTCAGTCAAAATTTGATAATTAAGATTTTTTTTACCTAAAAAAAAGTATTAATATTAAAAAAATATAGGAATTTTGATGAATTATTTTAAATATTAAATTTTGTAATATTTTTTAGTATAATTTACATGTAATTTACTCATCAAATAATTTTATTAAAATTAATTTTGCATTATTTGTTCCCTTCTATTTTTATTTTTTCTTTCTTTTAAATCTTTTCTCATTTCTTTCTTGTTTCTTTTTTTTTTTTTTTTCTCTCCTGTCTCTTTTTCTCTTTTTTTTTTCTCTATTTCATTTTTTTTTATTTATTTCTTATTTATCTCTTTTTCTTCATCTCATAGTCTTTTTTCTCTCGCTTACTCTTTGCATTTCTTTTCTCTCTCTTACATTAAGGGTGTTTAATGACCTAAACCCTCCAAACAACAAACTAACAAGGATCCACAAAACAACAACAAACTAACAAAGATCCACATTCTTGAGAAAGCGAGAAAAAATCAAAACCCTTACAATTGTCATCAATGTTCTCGAACGCCCAGGCGTTGGCTTCGCGATACGACACCTCCTCCTCGAGTGTGAAGTCGCTCACGATGCCGAAGAAATCTCTGGCAAACTCCACGCTCTTGTTCTGCAGCATCTGGGCGATTCCGCGGCAAACAAAATCAAAAAACTCCTTCACGTTGAGGTAGTTCGCCGCGAAAAGGAGCTCCTTCATCTCGTCGTGGCTCAGCGCCTTCATGAAATTGTCGTCGAACTCCTTCAGCGCCTCCTTGTCGTGGCCGATGCGGCGGTGCTCCTCGCAGTACTTCAGGATGCGGCAGAGGTCACGGCTGGTCACGTTGGGGAGCGGGATCACGGTGGTGCTGTCTCCGCTGGTGTCGATGAAGGACTGCACTGTCTGCATCTGCTTCGCGATCGAGGCTTTGACCTCGAACACCACGCCGTCCGAGGTTTTGAGGTTAACATCGGATTGGTTTTCTTGTTTGTCCGCGGCGGTGTTTGAGGATTCTCCCTCCGCGAATGCGACAGAGAAGGGCTTGGATTCGGCGTTTTGCGCTCGACTTCCATCCATTCTTCTTTCAAAAGGTCTTGTACTGCCATTGATGCAACTGATAGGGGAAGAGACAATAACAAAGGTGAGAGAGAAGAGTGATTTAAGGGTAGTTTGCGGTTTGAGTAAGGATGAGAATGCGCTGTTATAGGAAAAGAAAGGGGAATGACAATGACCTGTTTTCGTTTTCAATTCATTTGATTTTTTTATTTAAATTTAATTACTTTTTTTTATCAATTTTTTTTTTATTTTTGTTTAAATATAATTTTGTCTAAAATGTATGAATAAAAAGAGTAATTAAATCTTTATAAAATTAAAAAAAACAAACGTATAAAATTATATAATTATATAATGCTTTTAATGATATGGATTAGAAAATAAAGTTCATGAAATTATAAAAATAAAAAAGTTAATTAAATTATGTAAAAAAATAATTAAAAATTTTATTTATTATAATTTAATGAGTTTGATTTATTTGATTTTTTTTAATGATCTCTTTTTTTCTTTTTTCTTTTTGAGATAAGATGGTTAGATGTAATGGATTTGGGGGTATGGTTCCTCGTGTTTAATTTTGATCAGATTTCTGTTTTAAATTTGGAAAGATTATTAGATTGAAAAGAAAATTATGAGTGTTTAGATGATAGATTTTATGGAGTAGTTTAATTTTTAAAAATTTTTTAAATGTTATTTGAATGAAGGATTTAAAATTTAAATATTTGGAGTTTTTTGATGTAAAATTTTAAATTCTCAAAAAAATAAAAAAGTAAGAATTTGAAATTATTTTTTCTCTTTTTCCTACTTTTTTTTTCATCTTTTTCAAAGTCTACATAAAAATATCAATAATTTTTTAATTATTAAATATTTAAGATTATTTTCTAAACTATTAAAAAGTATTTAATATTAATTGTTAAATATTTAAAATAAGTTAATATTTAATTTTATAAAATTTAATCTTAAAATTTATATATATATATATATTTTTTAACTTTTATGTTTTAGCTAATTAAAGTGTTGAGGTATTCTTTTTAAATAATTATTATGTTAATTTATGCATCTGGAGATTTTTTTTTTAATTTTTTTTTTCCGATTGCTTGGTCTTGCTCTTCCGTGTTTTTAATGGTATTGTTTTGTGCTTGGAATTGGAATTGGTAATGGTAATAGTGTTTCTGTGATGGGTCTGAGGGAAAAAGGTGATTCAAGGAAGATTCAGTTTTGTTGGGGTAAAGGGTAGTTGCCCCTAATATGATGGAGTATCTTCTACGTATACCATATTTGATATTCCTTCTATTTTGTTTTTGAATCAATAGCTATGTTGAACGCGTACTTGACCGGATAAGCAATGGTAAACTAGCAGAGGACAGAAGCAAAGGTAAATGATTTTGAAGGGCCTTTAATCAAGTATATAATTAAATAGTTGAAAATGATTGAGTTAAGAAATGTGCATATGTTGTCTTAGTTTTATTGTATTACGTGATTGAAATTAATTAATATAAAATTATTTTTATTTATTTCAGGCATCAGATGTTGGAAGTGGTGCTCCATCACCAAACAACATAAGAGGATCATCAAGAAGAAGCAATGGTGATAATGAGGGTAGCTAAAGGAAGGCTAGTTAGGCACATTAATATATTAGAAAATGTTACTTTCCCCCCCCCCCTCTCTATATATATATATATATATATGTATATATATATATATATATAATCACCCAAAATTGAAAACATATACAAGCTAGGTTGTCAGTCAAGCAATACTACTAAAGACTAGCTATACCAAGATAGCTCCAAAACAATTCTACCATCCTCCAACATGGCTCTCAACATGAACTCCTCCAACCTGTTATTGCTTTGCTCCAATGATCATCACAATTCAATCACGAGGAAATATGAAAGGATAAGCTTGCAAAAGACAACACAAAGATATGCAACTTATGCCTGTTTTTCAACTTAAACAACACAGCCAAATTTCAACTTACAACACAACCGAGCAACTTATCAATATTTTAATTTAGCATATGAATAATACAACGTATAAACACATGCATCATGTGTACGACATAACAACTCACTACAAAAAAACGCGTTAATAATGGCAGTTATAATTGTAAATAATGACATTTATAACCGTCAATATATACATGTGTGACGGTTCCGTGTAGCGCCATAATTTATGCCGCCACAGAGTAAAAAACGACGGTTACAAGCGCACCGTCGCAACACCCGCCATTTAATACATTGTATAAAGCAACGGTTTAGACGTGTAAATAATGACAGTCTAAAATGTCATAAATTACACAATAAAATTAATTATATAAGTTCATAATGACAATTTTGAGCGCCATTATTTCCATAATAATATGGCATGATCAAACTGCCATTATTATAACAATTTGTACATAAAAGTATGACAGTTCTAACTGTCGTAATTTTCAAATAAATAATTTTTTTCAACATAAATTTTTAATTAAATATTTTAAATATTAAAAACACCTGTATATTTAAAATATGATAATTGTGTGAAATCGAAGTAATCAACAACTCTTAAAAAATTCAACCAACCAAGTTCATTCAATATACTTCAACTTGTAATAACAAAATACAAAACATAAAGTTGATTCATTCATTACTTGTACCAGGGAAAACATAAATAGTTATATCAAACAGAGTCAAAGTACTTCATAAGTTATAGATTCATTACATAAACTAAAGTAACATTTTCTAATATATTAATGTGCCTAACTAGCCTTCCTTTAGCTACCCTCATTATCACCATTGCTTCTTCTTGATGATCCTCTTATGTTGTTTGGTGATGGAGCACCACTTCCAACATCTGATGCCTGAAATAAATAAAAATAATTTTATATTAATTAATTTCAATCACGTAATACAATAAAACTAAGACAACATATGCACATTTCTTAACTCAATCATTTTCAACTATTTAATTATATACTTGATTAAAGGCCCTTCAAAATCATTTACCTTTGCTTCTGTCCTCTGCTAGTTTACCATTGCTTATCCGGTCAAGTACGCGTTCAACATAGCTATTGATTCAAAAACAAAATAGAAGGAATATCAAATATGGTATACGTAGAAGATACTCCATCATATTAGGGGCAACTACCCTTTACCCCAACAAAACTGAATCTTCCTTGAATCACCTTTTTCCCTCAGACCCATCACAGAAACACTATTACCATTACCAATTCCAATTCCAAGCACAAAACAATACCATTAAAAACACGGAAGAGCAAGACCAAGCAATCGGAAAAAAAAAATTAAAAAAAAAATCTCCAGATGCATAAATTAACATAATAATTATTTAAAAAGAATACCTCAACACTTTAATTAGCTAAAACATAAAAGTTAAAAAAAATAAATAAATAAATAACCCATTAAACACATAACATTCTCATTCCTCCATCCACGACCCTCACAGACAACAATTAATTCAAACAACATTCAAACTAAAACCAAACACAGCAACATCAGCATCAAGCTTGAAAAACCAACAACTCGTTAGTCTGAATACTAATCTAAGCAGTACCCAACTCGGTTTCCTTATACAAGTTCTCTGGTTCGAATCTTGTGAACGGAAAAAACGTTATTATGAGGGGAGACCCTACTAATGATAATAAGCCAAGTTTCCCAATCTGGTGGATACTTTGTACCAATTAAAAAAAAAAATCAAGCTTAAAAAATGAAATTAAAAAAAAAAAGAACCCCACAACAATTGAGTAAAAATTAAAATTAAAGTAATTTTAATTTTAACAAATATATTTTTTAAAAAAAATTTCATCCAGATACACTGTATGAGTTATTTTGAAAGAATTCATATATTTTTTCTTTTTATTTTTTAAAAGAATAATGTTAACAGTATTTTTATATGTTAGTTTTTATTATTATTATAGGAATTTAATCAACCCTTATGCATTGAACATTAACTTCTACTTTGCATCCAATATTTTTAGTGATTTTTCTTCGATAAAAAAATTTATAATTTTTTTTTTGTTGAGAGGAGTGTATTTTATTAGAAGTTCAATAAATTTTTAAAGACTCTTTTATTATAAAAAAGTCTTGTGATAGAACTTTTTTTTTCAATATAAAAAAGTTATGTGAAATTCAATCAAGATAATTAAATTTTTTAATTTTTTTTTTAAGAATTCATTAAACTTTTAATAATATTCAATTAAGTTAATTAAATTTTTTTATGTGTCGGTCAAAATTTGACAATTAGATTTTTTTTACCTAAAAAAATTTATTTATATTAAAAAATATAGAAATTTTGATGAATTATTTTAAATATTAAATTTTGTAAAAATTTTTAATATAATTTACATATAATTTATTCATCAAACAATCTTACTAAAATCGATTTTGTATTGTCTTTTCCCTTTCTATTTCTATTTTTTTCTTTTTTTAAAAATCTTTTCTTTTAACTTTGTTATTTTTCTTTTTTATTTTTTTTCTCATTCTCTCTCTTTCTCTCCCAATTATTATTTCTCTCTCTTCTTTTCTTTCTTATTTCATTTTTTTTATTCTTTTTTTCTCTCTCTTATATGCATTTCTTGATTCTCTTTCTCTTTCTCACAGAAAATTAAATGCAAATCACAAAATGCAACATTGATAAAAACGAAAGGTGTTTAATGACCCAATCCTTCCGAACAACAAACTATCAAAGATCCACAAAACAACAACAAACTAACAAAGATCCACATTCTTGAGAAAGCGAGAAAAAATCAAAACCCTAACTACTGTCGTCAATGTTCTCGAATGCCCAGGCGTTGGCTTCACGATACGACGCCTCCTCCTCTGGAGTGAAGTCGTTCTCGATGCCGAAGAAATCTCTGGCAAACTCCACGCTCTTGTTCTCCAGCATCTGGGCGATTCCGCCGCAAAGAAAATCAAGAAATTCTTTCATGTTGAGGTAGTTTGCCGCGAAAAGAAGCTCCTTCATCTCGTCGGGGCTCAGCGCCTTCATGAAATTGTCGTCGAACTCCTTCAGCGCCTTCTTGTCGTCGCCGATGCGGCGGTGCTCCTCGCAGTACTTCAGGATGTGGCGGAGTTCGCGGCTGGTCACGTTGGGGAGCGGGATCACGACGGTGCTGTCGCCGCTGGTGTCGATGAAGGACTGCACCGTCTCCATCTCCTTCGCGATCCAGGCTTTGACCTCGAACGCCACGTCGTCCGAGGTTTTGAGGTTAACGTTGGTTTGGTTTTCTTGTTTGTCTGCGGCGGTGTTTGAGGATTCTCCCTCGGATAGGATGAGCCTGTTGAGCTTCTCCTCCGCAAGTGCGACGGAGAAGGGCTTGGATTCGCCTTCCGCGATTTTGCGCTCCACTTCCACCCATTCCGCTTTCCAAAAGTCGTCTTCTTCTGCCATTGATGCAACTGAAGGAGAAGAGAAAATAACAAAGGTGAGAGAGAAGAGAGTTTTAAGACTAGTTTGCGGTTTGAGTATGGATGAGAATACCCTTTTATAGAAAAAAAATAAAAAAATAAAAGGAGGAATAACTGTTTTGTTTTCAATTCATTTGATTTTTTTATTTAAATTTAATTATTTTTTTATCTAAAATGTATGAATAAAAAGAGTAATTAAATCTTTAGAAAATTAAAAGAAACAAACGTATAAAATTATATAGTTATATAATGCATTTAATGATATGGATTAGAAAATAAAGTTCATGAAATTATAAAAAAAAGTAATTAAATTATGTAAGAAAGTAATTAAATGTTTTATTTATTATAATTTAATGGGTTTGATTTATTTGATTTTTTTTAATGATCTCTTTTTTTTTTTCAGATAAGATGATTAGATGGATTGGATTAGGGGGTGTGATTCTTGGAGTTTATTTTCATCAGATTTTTGTTTTAAATTTGGAAAAAGTATTTGAAAAGAAAATTATGAGTGTTTAGATGATAGATTTTATGCAGTAGTTTAAATTTTTAAAAAATTTTAAATGCTATTTGAACAAAAAATTTAAAATTTAAGCATTTGTGAAATTTTTATGTAAAATTATAAAAAATAAGAATTTAAAATTATTCTTTCTCTTGTTTCTCCTACTTTCTTTTCATCTCTTTCAAAATTATTTAAATATTTAAAATTAGTTTTAAACTATTAAATACTATTTACTATTAATTTTTAAAATTTTAAATATTTAAAAATTGTTTAGCATTGAATTTTATAAAATTTAATCTAAATTTGAATATATATATATATATATATATAGAGGAGGGTTCAAATGACACCGGTGTAACTTTTATTAAGTGTTACACCGCTCAATAACTTTATATTCAATGTAAATTTTGAAAATCCAACCGTAAGATTGAAAGTTCATATCTCTTAGATCATATATTTCAAATTTTGTTAAAATTGAACAACAACTTGAAGGTAATCAAAGTGTTCATATTTTAGTATATTTTGAAATGTATATATTACGTCAATTTTGTTTTATGAGAATGAAGTATCAAATCATCTTAGATTAATACAAAATTTGACATATATGATCTAAGAGATATGAACTTTCAATCTAACGGTTGGATTTACAAAATTCACATTTAATATAAAGTTATTGAGCGGTGTAACATTTAGTTAAAGTTATATCGGTGCCGTTTGAACCCTCCTCATATATATATATGAGGAGGGTTCAAACGGCACCGATATAACTTTAACTAAATGTTACACCGCTCAATAACTTTATATTAATTGTGAATTTTGAAAATCCAACCGTTAGATTGAAAGTTCGTATCATTCTATATGTGTATATCAAACTTTGTTAAAATTGAACAATAACTTGAAAGTAATCAAAGTGTTCATATTTTAGTGTATTTTGAAATGAATATATTACGTCAATTTTATTTTTAAAAAATGAAGTATCAAATCATCTTGAATTAATATAAAATTTTGTATTTATGATTTAAGAGTAAAGAGTTTTCAATCTAATGGTTGAATTTACAAAATTCACAATTAATATAAATTTATTGAGCGGTGTAAGACTTAGTTAGAGTTACACCGATATCGTTTGAACCCTCCTCTATATATATATATGTGTGTGTGCGCGCCCGCGTGCGTCAATAATTTTATACATAAAAAAAATTGAAATAAAAGTAATTTAAATTTTAAGAATTTAATTTTTTTGGAATTTCTAAAATTCTTTATCCAATATTTTTATATATAAATTTGAAATCAAAGTAATTTGAGATAATTCATATGTTTTTTTTATTCTTTTTAAAGAATAATGTTAACAGTGTTTTTATAGGTTAATTTTTTTTATAGGAATTTAATAAATCCCTATGCATTCAACACTAACTTCTACTTTATATGTGAGTGTTTTTAGAAGTTTTTCTTCGATAAGAAAATTTATAATTTTTATTAAACTTTTAATCTGAGATGAATGCATTTGATTATGATTTCAATAAATTTAAAAGACTTTTTTATTATAAAAAATCTTGTGATAATTTTTTGTTTAATATTAAGAACTCATGTGAATCTTAACCAAAACAATTAGGAATTTTTCAAGAGTATATCAAAATCTGATGGTGTTCAATTAAAATAATTAAGATTTTTTTAAGCATTAAAATGTGGTGGTATTTAATTAAAAGTGTTTTTTTATTTATAAAAAGTCTATTAGTATTAAAAAATATAGAAATTTCAATAAATTATTTTGAATATTAAATTTTGTGAGACTTTTTAATATAATTTATATGTAATTCATTTATTAAACAATCTCACCAAAATCGATTTTGCATTGCTCTTTTTCTCCTTTTATTTATATTTTTTTTCTCTCCGTTAAATCTTTTCTCGTGCCTTTCTTGTTTCTCTTTCTTATTTTTTTTCTCTCTCCTTCTCTTTTGTAGTTCTTGTTTCTCTCTCTTCTTTTTTTTTTCTCTGTCATTTTTTCATTTTTTTTATTCACCTCTTATTTATCTCTTCTTCTTTGTCTCATACTTTTTTTCTCTCTCCTTCTCTATGGCATTTCTTGTTTCTCTTTCTCTTTCTTTCTTTCATTTTTTTAATCTCTTTTCTTTGTCTCTTTTTTTCATTTATCTCATTTATCAATAATTTTTTAATTATTAAATATTATCTATTGTTAAAATTTTTAAATTATTAAAATTTAACAATTTATTTTTAATAAAATTTAATATTTAAATATTTATTAATGCTCAAAATAAAAATGGAGTTTTGAAATTACACCAAGCATACTTAAAAAATGTGATTGAGATGATGTTTAGTATTTTTAAATCTTACTTCACACTTTTTAAGTAAGAGCATCTATTTCTATTTAAGATACAAGCTAAATTTGTATTAGCATGTAACACTAATACATAACTTTTTTCAAAGAATTTCATTTTGATGAATTTTTAATTGAATTAAAGAATCTTTATCTTCAATGCTAGAGTTAATGAAGACCATAATTTTAAACATATTGTTTAGTCTTAGGTGTATGAAAGAGAATATGTCAATGCATGGAAGACTAATATAACTTTAAATATATAAAAAAATGTTAGTTAGAAGGACATTAAAGTGAATTATTTGTCAAAAATAGATATAATTATTTGTCAAAAAATAGAAAATTATGTTAGTTTTACTTTTTCTTTATTATTTATGTTTATATTTTTTTTATTAAATCTTGTAATAATGCAAATTCATGTTTTTTATAATATAAATCCATCAAAATTCATTAAAATATGGATTACAAAGTATTAATTAAAATCCAAGTTTTAAAACTCTTTTAAAGAAATAAAAGTCATGACATTCCTATAAAATCTTTTAAAATCTATTAAAATCTATAAGACTTTTTTCATATCAAGACAATTTTATTTTTTATCATATATAATTGTTTATAAATTAAATATTAATCAATCTTTATATATTAAACAAAATTATTTATCTTATGTGAGAGTATTTTTAATATTTATTTTTTAAAAAACAATTTTGTAAAAAAAATAAATTAACTTCTTATCTAATTTGATTTTTATTTATTATAATTATTTATAAGTTAAATATTAATATTTTTAATATAAAGTAATAAAACTAAATATATATTTTAATATAAGACTCATTACTGTCATGAAAGATACATGTAACTGTAATAACTTGATATCAATCTATTTATATGGTTAGTACGTAGTATAATTAATGTATTTAATGTTAATAAAATATATTATTAAATGTTTTTTTTTAATTTATACATTATCTTTAATATAATTGTTAATGTCACGCAAAAACTAAATGTTATATAATATAATTGTTAATGTCACGTAAAAAGTAAATGTTATGTAATATTTATATTTTTATTATAATAAGTGCTTTTTTTTTTTTCCTGAGATACTTTGAATTTTGTAAAGGAATGTACTGTGAGATTACTTTTATAAATTCAAATTCTCTTTTGAGAGAATTTGAAATTCTACTATTTCAAGGAATTTCACAAATGCTTGAATTTTAAATTTCTTATAAATTTCTCATACAAACAAGGTATTTCACCTCAAAAAATTTGAAATTCTTCAAATAAATGAATTACTCTAATTAAATTCCCCATATACAATTATACATTCATCCCATTTTTTTTTCTTCCATACAGAAATATACCAAAACAGAATTTATACCCTTATAGTGTGTTTGGATGAGAAATTTAAATGGAGTAATTCACTTATTTGAAAATTTTTAAATTTTGAGGTGAAATACCTTGTTTGGATGGTGAAATATCCTTAATAGTGTGTTTGGATTAGGAATTTTACAAATTCAAGGAATTTTAAATTCTTGGTATTTGAACTACTTTGATTTCAATTTCTATCATTCTTAAAATATTTTGTTTAGATGAGTCAATTCAAAATTTTTAAATTTTAAATTGTTAGATTGAATATGATAATTTGATTCCATCATAGTAAAATTGATTTAAAAAATATATTTATATGTTGAGATTTTTAAATTAAATTCTATAAAAATAAATATTAATCCATTTTTAAATATTTAATAATTTTAAAAATTAATATTAGATAATATTTAATAATTTTAAAAATTAATATAAAATAATATTTAATAATTTTAAAAATATTTTTGAATATATATATAATAATTAAAAGAATGAAGAGATAAGATAAAATATATAGGTGAAATAAGAAAAACATATATGAGAAATTTCAAATTCTCCCATTTTTGGGAGAATTTGAAATTCTACTATTTTAATGAATTTCACAAATACTTG